TATATATATATATATATATATATATATACACCCCTCAGTTAGAGTGTGTTACAAGTATGATTCCTGCTGTCAAAATGGAGAACTTAAAAAAAAAAAAAAAAAAGATTATTAATGATTGAATGTCCCGAATGGAGTTTTAACCATTTATTTTAGGGTTGTACTGAAAAAATAGTACAAGAAAAGACAACATTTATGTACGTTTATTTAATTATGAGTTAACATTTTACAAAATCACTTTTTTTAATATTACTTCATTTTTAAGTGTACTTTTTTTTTTTGAACTCAGACCCCCCCCCACCCCTTAAATAATATTAACTATATTCCTGACAACACACCAATTTCCTTGTACTGTTACTATTACTGCTCGATTGATAGCCAATGTAAAGGTATAACAATATCATGTTAAGTTCTTGTCTTTCTTCACTTATAGGTATGGCGGTGGATCTTTTTCCTTTTCCAACCTCATCAATGGAGTCACCAAACGGTTTTCCAGTGATTTTGAACTTAAACAGGTTAAATTTTCTAGATTATCTAACAACTTGTAGCAGTCATTTTACCAGTTGTCAGTCACCATTCCTTCCTGGAGACGTTTAGCCACAACTTGATATCTCTCATCAACCCTGTAATAATAATGATGAAGGAGTTCTGTTCGTGTCACACACATATTCAAATGTTCACGTCTGGCGCCCGTGCGTGCGGCGCCCGCGCGCTCGGCATAAAGGCAGGCGTAAATTCATCATTGTGTCAGCGCAAGTCTAGTCTAGTGTGTTTGGATTCGTGTTGCGCCACTCCGGGCGCTCTGGTGGCCTCGCCGCTGACTCATCTGAGAACTTAGTAACAGATAGTAGGTTGCGCTTGGCGGAAAAACAGGCGCATTTTCATTTTAGGGCCCCCTGGCGCATTTCTCACATTTGGTTACAAAAAACAGACAAGATTTTACACTCCGGAAAAGTGGGTCTAACTTGTGGCACATTTTGGTGTATTTGATTAAGGCTGATGTTGACAATTATCGGCGCTCTGCGGAGATGTGTGGCTGATGTGGGACCATCCCTGTTGGTCGTTGCAAAAATAAATTCATTGAGTCGATTATAATTATTACCATTTTACAAATATTTTTATCGTGCCGTCACTAATTCATCTCTTTCGGTGGCAAACAAGCAGTCCTGTGAATTAATGTTATTTTGCCCAAGATAATTTCAAACGCATGATCATCTTTTCTAATAATAATGAATACTTTCTTTGCCATTGCAGCTAAAGCAGTTCAAAGCAAATAATGCAGAGGTTGGTTTTGGCTCTGGGACCCTGGCTGTGGATCAGTCCATCGAGAGAACCATCGCCAACATGAAGTGGATAGCAGACAACAAGAAGAGTGTCCTAAGTTGGTTCAAAGCTGAAGCTAAACTGTTATGATGCCTTCACTTGCCACCGAATAAAAAAAAGTCTCTTGTTTAACAAATTCTTTTTTTTTTTTTTTTATGTTGATCCTTTCTGCTTGACAGAGTAAGCATATTTTTTTGTATTTTTCCCCTTGAAAATATAATCTTAAAAATGAAAGATTTGTTTTGACTTTTTTGCCAGTCAAAAGGAAGATTCCTCTGGCAAATGAATCAATAGATAATTCGACATTTTCATTCGAAAGGACAACTTTTGCGAAACATGTATTTTTGTATTTTCAGAATTGCATTATTCTATTACGTGGTTTGAATTAACAGACAAAGAAACAAACAAATGTACTTTCTGTAAAGTTTTGTCACTCAAAAATAATTTTGAGACAAGTGCTTGGAATAACAATTTGCATACTGTAATTGCCTTATTTATTTTTCTAGCATTTATCATGTACTAAAGCTTTATTGGTTTTGTCAAAGGTGACTCCATCAACATTCTTTAATAAATGTGTCAATGTTCATTCATTTTGTCGCTGATTACTTGTTTTCATACTGAATACTTCATAAGTACATAAGTACATATTTCATGTGAAACGAACCAAGAAATGTACCAGTTTATGTGTATATGTTGATTGTTTTTTGTGTTTTTTTTTTTTTTTTTATAATCGATTTTGCTTCGGTTGAAGATTGCCTCAACTTTCAACTCATTTGAAGGAACTTTAATTATAGGTTTTGTTGCGTTGGACAAAGTTTCAAGTTGTCATTTGACAGCCATTTACTGTGCAACATGAAAAATGCTTGACGATACTAAATGTGATAGTACTATTTAAGTGGGCTCTTCCACTGGATGCGCATATTTAATGTTAGTATTTAACCCCCCCCCCACCCCCCCAATTATATACACAGTAATAATGTAGACCAAGTGTTAGATCCTCCTTCACTTTAGCTGTTACAACCTTACTGTAACAAGGCCTACGTATGTTTTATAATTGTTGGAGATGATAAAACACTGGTGTGGACAACGGGTTTCTCTTTGGACCAGTAAGGGGACACTAGATTCGATTCACGGGAGCCAATGATGTCAACGTTGAGGGGGTAGCATGGGCAAAGAAACAAGACAACAGTTGTAAAAACAAGTAATTTTTATATCAAATGTAAATACATGACAACAAAATTATTGTCACAGAAAACACAGTGAAAAGTAAATATATAAATACAACTTAGTCTCAACCTCTTAGTTGACCTTTCCTTAAAGTAAAATAATTGGTGATCACCTTTCTCAACGCCGGTGTGAGGTTTTTTTTTTTGGTTTTCTTTCAATCTGAATTAAATAACTAAACACAAAATGTTCTCGTCAACTCGTGTCTTACAAAATAAATCCCTATAAACATTACCAACACTAATCAGTCAAAAAAAAAAAAACAGTTTATCAAATGTAATATATATTCTTTTGGTTGGCTCGCCACCACCACTGTACCCCTTCTCTCTTTCTCCTGAAACACGTCTTTACAACAGCAGTAGAATGCGTCTGCTCGCGTTCAGGCCCCATCAGAAAGAGAGCGAGATAGACTGTCTAACAAGCCCTTGACGTCCAGAAGGTGAAAAACGGCACCTCTCATTTGCTGACACCCCACTAGTATTCTGTGCCCTGATTCGCTAGGGCCACGGCAATATTCAGTTCTGTTTAAATAAAAGACCATTTTAACGACGCCACTCTTTCAGTCAATTGTATTTATATTTTTTAACTTCTGAATGAAACCTATGATCTTTCAGTTTGTTATGTCTACTCCCCATTGCCTCATGCCATAATCCGGGTTACATTACTATCGTATATTGGTTTGAATTTGGGAAACGTTTCCAAAACGACAAAGGTTAATATCTTGGACATTGAAACACTGCTCATGTTTATTTGAAACCAGTTTACGATAAGGATGACGAAAGATTGAGTTATGATCATTGCGATGAAGGAAACACATCTTTGTGTTTTATGAAGCCGTGGGAACATGCACTGGACATTAAAAAAGAGAACATTGTAAACTCCTGTTATCACTCCCTCGAGCCAGTGGTGATCAGCTGCTTATGTCACTTCTCTGTCCGAATACCTCATCCGTTGTCTTGCAATAGTGAGAGAACCGAATTAAGAAGGAACAAGGGAGTAAAATTTGGGGAGTGCTGACACTCGTGTTTGTCATTTCGGAGTTGAAGCCTTGGAAAGTAAGCGTGCTTTGGCTATAATAGCCTTTTGTGTTAATGTCATTGGGACTGAACATCAGGAGGAATAGTTTTTTTTTTGGTTTGGTCCTTTTGGCCTTTGAACATCCCGTTTGTGTTGTTTTATAGGCGATGGAGAAAAGACGTCGGGTCAGCAAGTTGTGTATTCTGTGTGTGCTCTTAACCCTTGCCTCGGTTGCGACAATTGTCACGCTTTGGACTATTGCCCTGACACGAGGTGATGAAGGTGATGATGTTGCTGCTCCTTGGGACAGGTACGTAACAGTTTAGTGATGCTGACGGGGGCATTTTTATCTGACTTGGTCTTTAATCCTCATATGTGGTTCCTGTAAAAACAAAAACAATATCAGGTTTTGAACATTTTAAATGAGAGAACACCCTGCACCGTTTGACAGCATCAACCAAGCTCCTAATATCCCAACTGACAATTTTTATATTGGGCGCCACAGTGGTCGACTGGTTAGCAGGTTAGAAAATGAGAGTGAGGAAAAAAACCCTCTTACTGCCTATATTTTCCTTAAAGCTGTATGTGTGTGTGTGTGTGTGTGTGTGTGTGTGTGTGTGTGTGTGTGTGTGTGTGTTATCCCTGTGTGTGTGTGTGTGTGTGTGTGTGTTATCCCCTCAGGTACCGACTCCCCACTTCACTGATCCCTCTCTCTTACAACATTACCCTGTGGCCTCATCTAAGCCCTGACCCCGACTCTGGTCTCTACCTCTTCACGGGTGAGTCACAGCATTCAGTCCGACGACTGTATCATAGGAAACACTGGGACACTCTGCACAATATACGCACTATGCAAAAATCAGGATATGCTCGTTTTTACGCAAAAACGGAGCTGCGCTGTCTGAAAATTTAAAGCCCAAATTGTAATCTTGTTGACCAAAGTTCACGAAAATGTTTGCTGTATAGTATCCTCTTTTCTCCCATTAGGTACTTCTATTATGGCGTTTGAGTGTGCAACAGAAACCGATCTGATCCTGATCCACTCTTACAGGCTCAACTACACTTTGCTGCAGAACAAACACATTGCTCTGCTTCTTGCTTCAGGTGCATTCAACATACACACCGACAAATACTCACAGAGAGGGATTACTGTACACCACGTGTGTTCTATTTTGCAGCTCAAGAAACGCTATAATAACCCTTTCATGCACTCTGTAACCTGATAACATGATAAGCTGTCCACTGTAGTAAACTGCTGTCCCTGAAAGGGTTAATCATGATTGTTTTTACCATTTATGCAAAGTTAAACATGTCTGGAAAACCATTGATATAAGCCGAATGTCATTTGGTGATCAGTCCAGGCTTGGATGCAAGCGCGCATACTGTAGTTCACTTTTAGATGTGTATTTTCATGCAGGCGATGGTTTTGTTCCAAGTATTACGGCCACCTGGTTGCAGCCAAAGCAACAGTATCTGGTGGTGCAGCTAAATGGCGTTTTAACTCAAGGAGAGACATACCTTCTGTACACCGAGTTCACTGGAGAGCTGGCTGATGACTTAGCTGGCCTTTACAGAAGTGAATATGAGGAGGATGGAGTCAGAAGGTAAGCTGTATTGTATATTTCAGTGCAGTCTTTGCATATCAGTTTTGCACGAGGTAATTCCAGGCGCTTCGAATGACGATGACTTGTTCACAGGATTGTCGCTAGCTCTCAAATGCATCCAACTCACGCAAGAAAAACCTTTCCTTGTTTTGATGAACCAGCGATGAAAGCCGTTTTCAATATGACTCTCATCCACTCTCCTGGAACTACAGCCCTGTCCAATGGCGATAAAACAGGTCAGTTTGAACTGCACTATTCATTCCTATTGTAGATAGGCCCTCTGCTTCTTTTGTTTTAGCCTTGAATACATTTAAACATTTGAAATCTTCTCTTCAAATCTTTTCTTTGTAGTATAACCACGTCCCCGAATGTTATTGACCGAGTAAGGTTGGGAAAAAATGTGATGTGTCAATTAAAATCATCATAATTCAGGAGTTCTGGCTCCGACCCTCCTGTGTGGAGTTTGCATGTTCTCCCCGTGCCTGCGTGGGTTTTCTCCGGGTTTCCTCGCACACTCCAAAAACATGCGTGGCAGGTTGTTGGGACGCTTGAAATTGTCCCTAGGTGTGAGTTTGACCGTGGATGGTTGTACGTCAATGTGTGCTCTGCGATTGGCTGGCAACCAGTTCAGGGTGTCCCCCGCCTACTGCCCGAAGACAGCTGGGATAGTCCCCAGCACCCCTTGCGACCCTTGTGAGGAGAAGCAGATCAGAAAATGGATGGATGGATAATCCAGGAGCATAACATTTTTCTTCATGAAGAAAAATGCACTTTTGCGATTTCAAGGAACCGCGCACCACAACTAAGTATGATAGTTTTTGCATGCCGTGGGTGGAGGATGAAATACAAGAACTGGCTGCTAGGATGACGTTGACTCCCTTCCCAGTCATCTGCAACGAATTTGTCTCCCATTGATTTTCAATATTTGTGGAACAATCATTTGTGTTTGCGTTTTTTTCAGATGCAGTCAACACAACTATTGATGGCATCGCTGTGACAAGGACCACATTTGAGCCAACTAAGAAAATGTCAACATATCTGTTGGCCATTGTGATTTCAGACTACACACACCTCACTGATACACAAGGCGACATCTTGGTAATATTTGATTTGTGGCAATTTATTTTTGTATATTGTAATACGTTCTCCTACAAATACGCTTAGCATTTGTGTCACCAGGCTTGAGACCCTCATATTAATATAGAGATATACATGCCCATTTTAATCACATTGTAATCACATTGTACATGCTGACTCGAATTGCTGTATAATTCCACACACTTAAAATGTGAATGTCAAAGTACTTGTGTTATTTTCTTCTCTTTTGAAAACTTACATTAAGAACTGATGATGTGCAATCAAAACATGTGTGTTTTCAGTTACGCATCTGGGCTCGGAAGAAGGCCCTGGAGCAAGGACAAGGAAGCTATGCGCGTAGTGTGACGAGACCCGTATTGGAATTTCTTCAATTCTATTCCAACATCTCCTATCCTCTCAGGAAGTTGGGTGGGCCTCATTCATAATTACGATTTCCCCCTGATATTTACACTCATATTCAAGAAAAATAATTCTGGAGTGACTCAATTGTGGAAGGTTGTTCAACTGCCAGTGATTCTCAAACACAACAGCAAAATGCTCTTTGATACATGCTTGTCTGTGCTTTGTTTGTGAAAACGTTCGAGGCTGCCTCTAAAGGCCGTCCAATCAATACTTTTTCTCCTGTTCTCTCATCTCATAGATCAAATCGCTCTGCCAGACTTCTATTATGGGGCGATGGAGAATTGGGGTTTGGTGACATACAGAGAAAACAAACTGCTCTACAGCCCCTTGACCTCCTCCAGTCGAAATAAACAGAGCACAGCCACCATCATCGCTCATGAACTAGCGCACATGGTCTGCTGATGATTTCATTCTCGTATTTAAAAGGAGTCCTTCAGCTGAGTGATTCACAAAATATGGTGCTGCGTGATGTCATTCTCTCATGCAGTGGTTTGGTAACCTGGTGACCCTGCGGTGGTGGAATGAGGTGTGGCTCAATGAGGGCTTTGCTTCTTATGTGTCTTATCTGGCAGCTGACTATTTTCAGCCAACTTGGGGCATGGTGAGGACCTCATTTCGTTCTTTATATTTTCAATATTTCTCCATATATGCAGCTAAGCAGTTTCTCTTCTTTTCTTGGCAATACGTTTTCAAATTTTTTTCTTCTGATGGTTGTTCAAGATGTTCCAGTCCCACTTGTCCAATGATGCTAATGTTACTCTTTGGAGTGGTGTGCAGACAGTTTTGTTTTGTTTTGTTTGCCTACATACGTAAATCTCCAGAAACTGACTCAAGATATCACTGTTTCTTTGTTCTAGAAAGATCAGTTTGTGCTCCAAAAAACCCACAGAGCATTTGCAGTCGATGCCTTGACCTCCTCTCATCCTTTGTCTTCGAATGAAGACAGTATTTTACTGCCTGAGCAGATCAGTCAGCAGTTTGATACCATCTCATACAGCAAGGTTTAACACATGCATGCATAACTCAAACACCCAACCACATCCACACACACTGGTTTCCATGTGGGTCGGGGACCGATTATTTATCATTTCTTGGGAATGGTAATGAGGCTGGGCCGTACACCGCTGCAATGGCTGCGGTGCAGTCAGGTTGTCTGGTGGAAGTCTGATCGGGGGAGAATGTCCCCGGTCAGGTGCATGCAACACATGGGGCTCGTCTCTTTCATAATTGCCTCTGGCCCTTCCCGGTTGTCTGCCCTCAGGGTGTGACGATGGCAATGTGTGGTGGCACCGGAGCCTTGTCTCGGTCAGCTTCAGTTGCTAAAATAAGAATACGGTATCATTAATTTCTCTGAATATAACTTTTATTGACTTTAGTTTCACATTATTCTCAGAACATTTTGCTTTTCCTGGCCAGATGTGGACTTTAACATTTTTTCAGTCTCTTGCTTTAGACCAGGGGTGTCAAACTCATTTCACATGGTGGGCCACATATGGCCTCGGTAGATGTCAAGTGGGCCGGACCATTAAAATGATACAATACTTTGCTATAAATAACCAAAACAATATGTCTTTCCTTTGTTTTGGTATAAAGAAGCACAAGAACATTAGGAAAATGTTGAAATTTAATGAACATATCTTTTACAAAACATTTCATGAAGCACCTTACATTTCCTTCGACAAATGTGCAATTTACTTTTATCATTCACATATATGCATTGCAACTGATCCCACTGATTGTACAAACTTTAACAAGTAATTGGTATTGAAAAATATAGTAATGCACTTTAAGATTAAACAAGATTCATAAAGAAAGCAAGTTTTAAAGCATTTACACATGCATATAAAATCTAAATGTAATCCCTGCCTACACCTTACAAACTAAGGAGAGTGCTATTAAATGTGTAAATGTGAGAGTGCTATTGATAGCGTCTGCTGTCATGGGTCTGTCTCAGTGACAGACTGAGGCTGCTGTTGTCTTCTTCTCTGATCAAAACAGTGTCCCCTTGCGGATACTCAATGAATTGCACCTGATTAAAAATATTAATTCTGTGTCTTTAATGCATTTTTTTCACTTTTACATTATCCTGCGGGCCTGATTGAACCTACTTGCGGGCCGGTTCCGGCCCGCGGGCCGTATGTTTGACACCCCTGCTTTACATAATCATCTCGCGGGCCGGATTAAACTCCTTTGCGGGCCGGATCCGGCCCGCGGGCCGTATGTTTGACACCCCTGCTTTAGACGTTTCTCATGCTTTGCAAGTGGTGATTAAACCACAGGTGGGCATTCCGTCACTGGGACGGAAGGGTCCGACCATCTGTCCCAGATGGACGCCCATTTCGGGGACGGAGGATGTGAAGTTTTTTTAAACGACGGACAAAGCAAGGATGGTAGTGGATTTTCATCCATCCCCATAATCGTCCCTAACCGGGTCAAGTACCAACAGATTCCCGTTTCATAAACGACTGACAGAAACACGCCCAGCCTGTTTTGCGTGTGTCATCCACCACTACTTCAGAGTGGACTGAATTTGAAATATCACGACGCGCCGCTTGTCTCGTGCGTGTTCACCGTGTTTGCTTCAAGTGGACAAGACGAGGAGTGTACTCGTCCTCCGTCCAAAAAAGTTTACACATCTCCTGTGAGTCTGGTTGACCGACGGTGGTTGTGTTCACAGCTAAATGCTATCTTGACACTTAAACAGTTGTAAACAATTCAATCGAGCCGGTGAAGAAAGCTGGCTGTGTTGTAGGCCTCTCCGTCCCCTCCCACACCATATGTGCGTGTATGTTGGGGTTTTTTTCGGCTCCATCTAATTATTCATGCGCATGTACGTACCGTATTGGCTCAAATATGAGCCGGTGTTTTTTGCATTGAAATAACACTGAAAAAGTGGGGGTCGTCTTATATTCGGGGTCTAGACATTATTCCCATTCACGACGCTAGATGGCGCCAGATATCATTGAAGTGAATGCTGAACTTGACTCCCCAGGCCAAAGTGAACCCCTGTCACGAAGAATAAAAATAAAAATAGCAGTAGCACGAAGAAGACAAATAAAAAATAACGGTAAGAAAGAAAAGAGAAGAAAATAATAGAAGAGATAACAGAAAATGGAGAAACGTAGTGACAATCTAGAGAAAAGTGGGTCAAAGATCGGCCAGGTTAACCGGCAGCTGAGGAGTAGTTATGATATAATTTACATTTCAAAAACCAGAAGCCATTCATTTATGAATGGGATTTCACTTTAGTTTACATATTTAAATGTTCCGATATTAAGATTCGAATGAGGCAAAATAACAGTTTTTTTCCTCTCAAATATATTGTTAGAATTATTTTCTGTACAAAAATTAATTTGGTGTTCAAAAAGTCTTTTTTCAAACTTGAGTCTTGAAAAAGAGGGGGTCGTCTTATCATCAGGGCCGTCTTATATTCGGGCCAATACGGTACATTTTCAACGACGCGAGGCAGCCAAAAAGTTCTCTTCAACCTACTCAGGTGAAATGGGCTCAGGACAAAAATTGCCTGGGAACGCTTCAAACGCACCACTGGTCACCCAACCGCACGTACTGCATTAGAACGCGCTGGCAGACCACAGTGAGGCGTGGGTGGACTTATTTATTCATTGCAACACTGGAGATTTTTTTTTCCAGGGCAGTCCTCCGGCCAAAGAGGACTGCCCTGGCCAGTACCAGCTTTGAAAAGCTTGAGTGAAGGGGAACATGTCCCTATTTGGGTACTCCATCTACCTTACTTTGAGGAGGAGAAGCAGCAGGGGGCTGAACATGGAGAAAAAAAAGGAATCAAATATTTTTTTGCATGTCAAGTTGTTCACGCTGTTCATAATTTATCGTTTTTGTGAGTAAAGTGATCCATACTGTTTCACAATTGAGTGCTAGCCTGTTGTCCGCTTTTTTTTTTTTTTTTTTTAACTGCCGGTATTAAAATAGTCATGACTCAAATGGGGATTTTTTTGTGTGTGTGTGTGTGGGGGGGGGGGGGTAAGAACAGAGGCGCTTTAAAAGGACAATGACGGACAGGGTTGATGTACCATTATTTTATGAATAAGGACAGGGGGAAAATAACGGAAGGACGCCCAGGTTGTGGACTGAAGATGGAACGGCAAAATAGTGTTAAGTGCCCATCGATGGATTAAACGACGAATGCTTTTTCACTGTCTGTGAATGACAGGGCCGCCACACCCTAAGCGATACGGCGGAACTCCACCTCACACTAATGCGGTGTGTGGGGTTTTGCCTCAAGATTTCATAAGTGGCTGAGACTCAGTCCCTGGTTTTGAGGCAATTCAATATTTTAATTGCAGTTCCACAATGTGGCAACATCACAAATTATAGACAGAATGCACAGGAGGATTCACACAGGGGAACTATCCATTTCTGTGTTTTAGCAAATGAGACACAGCCGCCCACTGCCAAATCGTAAAAATAAACAACATACACAATTTACATATATTGTGCTTTACACCAATATTTTCTCTGAGGGAGTTTTGTGTTGCCTGACTGCTATTATACCCTGTTCCATTGATTGTGCAAATGATGTTTTATTCCAGCTTTTCTGATATAGTCTTCGATGCAAATGACAGTCAAAATAATTTTCAAGTCATAGACCACCAGAGTATTAATCTAATGTTTTTGAGGAAAACTCCCAACGATAACAGTATTTTTTTCCCCTCAAAAAAATATATCTGAAATGAATTGTTTCAAACTATGCACAACTGAGTTTCAAAACATTTGATCGATTGTCAAGAACTGAAAATTGGGATTTGTTCAATTTACAATTTGGAGGAAAGATATCTGAACTGGTCACGTTATGTTTTAATATATGACCACTTTTTTCACAAACTCTCTCTCTCTCTCTCTCTCTCTCTCTCTCTCTCTCTCTCTCTCTCTCTCTCTCTCTCTCTCTCTCTCTCTCAAACCCCCGAGAATACATCTGGTCCCAAATCTGCTGATTTGAACTGAGCCAAACCCATTTTTCAGAGACAGGGTTGAATTTAGGAAACTTTTAGGTTTTCTCCCTTTTGTGTTCAGACCAGGTCTTTTTCACACATTGAAGGCAGGGACTTTTCAAGAGCCAATCGGCTGTCTTCCCCATGATTCTGGCCCAACACATGACTCCATTACCTTCTTGCGACCTTGCACCCTTGCTGGGACTTGGTGCCCCAAATTTTAAAGGATGCAAGAATTGTAAATTTGTTATGAAATAAGGGGTCTTCTGTTAAATTGTAACATGACCTGTTAAGATGTTTACTGGAAATACGTTTTTAGTTTGATATGAGCTCCTCAAGCTGAAAATTTTACAAATAACTCTTTCTTTACAATCTAGACCAGGGGTACGTACCTAATACGTCGATCGCGGACTGGTCCCAAGTTGATCGCAAGTGGTGTAGAAGAAAAACAAAAAAACATTTGTGTGTCTCTGCATGTTAGTGTTGCAGCTCCGAAAAAGGAGAGCAGTGGTGTTGGTTTTTAAAACGTATACTTTATTACCGGAAATGCTTTTCACAGTCTCAATAAATACAGGCACGTCTTTCTCCGTCTCCATGCCTTCTCTTTTGTCATTCGACTCGAGAGGCGTTCAAGGACCTCCTCTGAAAAACATAAATTAACGATTTTCTTCAATGACACAAAGAAAATCGAAAATAATCCACAGAAAATCAAGCTAAGAAATCACAAAATAAATTCTGGGGCGCGGGGGTGAACACACAACAAAGGAATAAATAACAAACAATTCTGAGACAGTCCAGTCTCCTACATTAGTAATATATTTTTTATTTTAATACACACTGCACCCTAATCATCCTATCAGTCTCACTTTCACAAAAAGTATTGTAAAAATAAAATATAATAAAGCAGGTCATCTACGGTGAGGCGTGACTTGCGTCACCGAAAGTTGTTAGCACTCAGCAGTCTGCAATGGCAGGTTGTGATCAGAGCTGTTGCGCTATATCTTTTGTCATGATCAGTATTCTCAGTCAGAGTTTGTTTCATGTACAATTCACCGAGGGTACGGGCAAAGAATGGGAATCTGGAAGGCCGAGAGAAGCATTTTAAAACGGTACGCGTGAGCTACAATAGTTAAGAGGCTGCAAAAGTGCGTCGCATGCTTCCGCGTCACGCTGGTGCTCTTCTTGGCACGCGTGTGTAAAGTGCGTACTTATGCGCGCGTGCGCGGTAACGGGTCGATCGCGGGAGGTTGGTTGATCGAAAAGTAGATCTTCGGTCATAAAAGTTTGGGCACCACTGATCTTGACGATGTTGGGAACAGGCTGTTGAACATGATATTTTGGAGCAGTGCCTTTTATTTTATTATATGTATTAGACTGTTATCATTGGGAACTTTGTTCAAAAACATCTGAACCATAATGTAATGCGTGATCACGTGAACAGTAGGTTAATGGATGACTGCCATTTTCATTGACTATTTACTTTGTAGGAACATGTGAGCACAATATCATTTGCATAATCACTTGATCGGAAACTGTATTGTGTTAATGATTTTTGCTGTTGCTTTCTGGTCCCTCAGGGTGCAGCAGTTTTGAGAATGTTGTCTGGTTTCCTGTCAGAGCCTGTCTTTGTCCAAGGACTCAATGTATGCAGTCTTGTTGAAACACTTTTTTATTCATTCGTTTTGCTTCAACAATTTTATTGATAAATCATAATTAGCAATATTGTCCACAACCCACAAACTAATTGCAAATCTAATGCAGCATCATCTGCTTGTCCTTTTTTTCCAGAAATATTTGAACCACTTTGCCTACAGTAACACAATAGGAAATGACCTCTGGGACAATTTACAAACGGTAATGAGTTTACATTCATTTTATTACAGAGATTTGATTAAATCTGCTGCTGCTTATTCGTCACCGGAGATGAAAATATCATTCAAATCTCAGGTCTTCAACTAAAAGTTGATGTCAACACGCACAAGTGAATGTATGGATTGTATTAGAAATAGTGTGAAATGCATGAAAAATTACACACACAATTACAAAACTTTTAATGTGTGACTTTGTTAAAGCACCTGTAACTCTATCATATGACGAGGTGAATGCAAACAAATATATTGATGGAGAACTGATTCTTAAAAAGTCTGATAAATACTTAGGGCTCTGGTTTCATGCCCGACGTAAATCCGGCGTGGCATGTTTGTGTGTCAGACAGGAATGGTTGTCTCTGTGTAGCTCCAGTTAAGCCCATTTTATTTTAATGAGAATATCAATAATAGTTTGCTCGATCAACAATGGTTCGTACAATGGTTTTGAGCAGTATTTCATAGGGATATGCGAGCACATTACAGGGGGTACAGGGAAACGTAATTTATTTCCACGATGATATTTAAATAGTCCTTCCATAAGCCGATCAATAAAATGTTATGGGTGCGCTACAGCTTGTTTCCATGGGGAGACAATAATGTGTAGCTCAGCCACGCTGATGAATAAAAAAAGTAAAGCTGCTTTGGTGGGCCTGAATAATATTCTTGTTAAGTATTGTGTTGCGTTCTACTTTCTGAAGGATGGAGTACTCATGGCCTGACAAAAGTGTACATAAGGCAGCAGAGGTTGGGAACCACTGATTGACAGGGTTTGATGCCCGCTGATCACATTTTTATGATTAAAATACATGTGACATCCACCACTCATGTTCGCAGAGCCCAGAAACTGCCTGCCTGTGCCCCAGTCAAATTCACCAAAGTTGCGTTAGACTGCCTGTAGTAGGATTTCAACATGGTACGAGCAAGTAGGCTGACTTTTTGCCACCGGGCCTTCGTCCAAAGGCACACTTTGTTAGGGCCAGAAGTCCAGCTTGGCGTAGACCGGTCTGCCAGATTGGAGCCTTGTGCCTGTATGAAAATCAGGGTGTGCTGGTTTTTGCCCTCTATCGCACGTGCGCTAAAATAGTATAACCTTAATGCAGCCTTTCTCAACAGGCTGTGGAAGCCAACAATCTGTATCTTCCTCATCGAGTTCATGACATCATGAATCGTTGGGTGCTCCAGATGGGCTTCCCTGTCGTTATTATAGATACTGCCACGGGAAAAGTGACTCAGAAGCATTTTTTGCTGGATGCTGAGTCCAAAGTCTCAGTGGAATCACCATATAAGTATGCATTCTTTTTAATAAATGAAATTTTACAAAGAGTATTTGATGCAAATTATTTTATGCTATCCAATTTGCTTTCATCATGAATTCGACAGCTACGAGTGGCTGATTCCAATTCAATGGATGAAGTCTGGCGAAGTCCAAAGACCTGTCTGGTGGCTGATGAAAAAAACAGGTATTGAACAAAAGGACTAATTTATAATATATATTAAAAATGCACAAACAGGGGCTTATAGGGTTGATGACATGCTCTTGTTACATAACACTTGACTTCACTTCATAGAACACAACCATAATTCTTCCATCCATTCTCTGTAGCCCTTGTTCTCATTGGGCGGCTGACTTATGGCGAGAGGCTGGGTAAGGCCTGGACCGCTCACTCATAGAGACAAAGAACCAGTCACACTAATTCACACTATTTTTGTGCCCAGAACAAGTCTAGCACAATGTGTGTGGGCAAGGGTGGAGTTTTCTTTCTGTTGTTATATATACATACCTATACCCATGTACATGGGTGTAGGTACAAAATGGCATTCGCGCCATTGTGGCGATGAACACACAGCCTACTCACTGGACCATACCATTGTTTGCATTGCCGGCAGTAAGTGGAGGCTGAGCCGAAAGACGAAGCTTTCGATTTACTAGTCAATCAATGTTCCTATCATCACCTCTATGGTCACACGCTGTCGGTCATGACTGAAAGAAGGAGATCCCGGATATTAGCGGCTGAAAAGTTACCTCTGCAGTCCCGGCTCTCCCTTCGAGATGAGGGTGAAAAGGCCAGTCATCCGGGACGGACTCAGATGAGGTGGCTCAGGCATCTGGGTAGGATGCCTCCAAGATGCCTTCCTGGTGAGGTGTTTCAGGCACGTCCCACCGGCAGGAGGCCCGGGGGATGACCCAGGAGATGCTGGAGAGACTATTGTCTCCTGGCTGGCCTGGGAAGGACAAAGGAGCCTTTGGGAAGAGTTGGAAGAAGTGGCTGGGGAGAGGAAAGTCTCGGCTCCCCTACTAAAGCTGTTGCGTTCTCATTAGAAAATGGATGGATGGATGGAAACGAGTGGCATGGTGAACGATTGGGTAGCATTTCCGCCTCACATTATCGTGATCTCGGATTCTATTCCGGACTCCCACTTTCCTGTGTAGGCTTTGGATGTTCTCCCCATGCCTGCGTGCGGTTTCTCCAGTTTCCTCCCACATTCCAAAAACATGCATGGAAGGTTAATGGAATGCTCTAAATTGTTCCTAGGTATGATTCGTACCGCAAAAGTTTGTATGTGTGTGCCCTGCAATTGGCTGTCAACTATTTCAGGGTGTACCCCTCCACCTGCCCGAAGACTGCTGCGATAGGCTCTAGTATGCTTGGAACCCTCATGAGGATAAGTGGCTTGGATAATGGATGAATGGAAACAGACACGCTAAAGTCTTTGCAGAAGATTGAAGCACAAAGTATGCTTATCAAAAATTACAATCCTACCTTCATGGGTGGATGATGTCATGTTGGGTCAGTGCATCACAAATCACCACTTGGAGGCTGCCTTCCACATAGATCGTTTGTGTGCTTGTCTCCCACGCATACCTGTACTGCGACCCAGGGGGGTTGTTTTATTAAACAAAGATGATGAGAACAATAATAATCCGCTAGCATGCCCAACATGACGCAGCACGGTCTTCCAAATTCCCAAACATGGTAACCTAGACTTGCCCAGGGATGAAAATGACAATGGTTTGAAGTCAGATTTTACCTTGCGTGCATGTGTGCTTGTCTACATGGAATCCTACCAGTCAATTTAGAGTGTTCAATAACCTATATGACGTTTTGTTAAAACGAAAGGAAGAAAGTACAGGTTTATTGTGATAAGGCGGAGAAAAAAAAACTTTACGGTCGGCATTTTTTTCAAACAACCCTCTACATTTTTGTGTAGAGGGTTTACATAGGTGCAAACTTGCGATATTGACGTTGAGCGCTTGCGTCGTTTGCCCTGTCGTCTGTCAACAAGGTGCAAACTCGCAATATTGACGTTGAGCGCTTGCGTCGTTTGCCCTGTCGTCTGTCAACAACATTGAATCATGGCAATGGCCGCGATCTCCGGCGACAGTTTAAACCGCGTTTTCTGTGTTACAGTCGCATGCTTGCACCGTAATGTTAAGAAAATAGCATCCATTGATGTATCGAAAACATTTTTGGGATGGCGGCTGGGGCGTTGCGGGGGTAGGGGACGGTGTCGGGCGCAGGGTTGGTCGGTGCGCGTCGCGCGGCCGGCCAGTCCCGCCCATCTCCCCCACCCCCGGTCAGGCGCCCGTCGGCGTTCCCCGACCGCCCACCCCGCGCCTCCGCGCACTCGTCGACGCACCGTCCGCCTAGTCTACGCAACTCTAGTCCAGGCCGGGCCGCGGCCGGCGGCGGGGACCTCTCCTTGTTTTATGTTTTATGTTTATTTTGTTTTAATTTTTGATGGAAAAAAAAAAGATTTAGAAAAAAAACTTTGTCCGACCTGCCGACCCTACGCTGAAATTTCATGTTACCGGAAACACACTATCTTTTTTGTTTGGCCTAAGCGACACTAGTTGTCTGGAAGTGAAATTCAAACCTAAAACCTCATATCTCTGGTTGATTGACTGGTCTACATTGAAGGGGAAATGAAATCTCTTAATTTGTAACTGTAAAGGATTTTTTTTTTTTTTAACATCACACCTGGAACTTTTCTGACAAAGCTGGCAAATCATGTACCGTGCTGTATATCCTCCTGGCCTACATTGAAGGGGAAATTAAATCTCTTAGTTTGTAACTGTAAAGAAGGATTTTTTTTTTTTTTTTTTTTTTTTAAACATCACACCTGGAACTTTTCTGACAAAGCTGGCAAATCATGTACCGTGCTGTATATCCTCTCTTGCCTTGCCTCTTTTAGATGTAAACTTGGAGATGAGGAGTGGCGGCTTGTGGATTCTTGCTAATATCAACGTCACAGGTTATTATCGGGTAAATTATGATCCAGGAAACTGGGAAAGACTTCTGGCTCAGCTTATCAGAGATCATCAGGTACAGTATACTCTGATTTCAATACTTAGCCATTATTATGTGGTTCTGTCTTACTTTTTCGTGGAATAAATAGAATTGCTATCATGTTGTATATGCGAACATTAAAATGTCTTGCACAGGTTATACCGCTAACAAACAGAGCCCAGCTTGTGGATGATGCCTTCAATCTGGCCAGGTAGAACATTCAAGTGTGTCTATGATTTTCTTCTCCATTTCAACCTGTTACAGGTAATTTGTTGTTACACATGACAACACTAAGTGGACTATTTCCTTTACTTCTATTCAGTTTACCAATGAAAATTAAGCATAACATTCACTTTTTCCCAGCAAACCAAAAGACAGAAACCAAAATTATGCCAAAACGTCATCCAAAAACAGCAACTCTGAATAGGGGAAAAAGCCGCAAAGAAGATTCATTATTTTTCAACAAGGTTTTAAATTAAATAGCCGATAAACAAGTCACATTGAAGCATTTGTGTTTACTTTGCAGAGCTCAGCTCGTCTCTGCCTCGCTTGCTCTGAGAACCACATCTTATTTATATGCTGAGACTGAGTACATTCCTTGGCAGACCGCTTTGAATAACTTTCAGTATTATTCCCTTATGTTGGACCAAACTGAGGTCTATCATCCTATGCAGGTATGTAAATAGTAAATTTTAATCAAAAGTGAGACACATCATGTTTCTTCTACCTCGTAGCTTTGGAAAACAACATTTACAGAATGTACTTCACTCACTTCTCTGAAACACTTCCAGGAGTACATGAAGAAGTTAGTCACCCCTCTTTACCTGTATTTTAAAAACATGACATCAGACTGGATCCAGATTCCACAGAGACACACAGACCAGTGAGTATATCACGATAATTGGAGTGTATTGTGGCAGGAAAACGCACTTTCAAGAACAACACAAAAGATGGCAAGATATTTTTAGGTTGTACTGTGCTGAGGCTTTTGGACCATGTATTAAGTACGCATGGAGTACTTGGTGAGCCCATATCAATGCTGAGTCACTGACAGTACTGTTGATGTTTGACATTTGTTGGTTGCTGTGAGTTGCGGGAAATTGTTCAGCCATCAAGGTAGACAGCGTGTGTCAACTGTTCAAGAGCTTAAAAGTAAAAATCCAATGTGCATTAGTGATACGTGTCGCTTGCTTGATCGATATCATTCAGTGGTTCTTAGAGGCGAACCGTGTAAAATGATGTTCATTTAAGGAAAGATACTATACATTTTCTCACAGTTCAAAACCGTTCCCAGAATTCTTCCAAACATGTACAGTATGTGCCATGCTTTTGTCAAATCAAAATCAAATATATGCTGCTTAACAGAATTCACTAGTCTTGCATTAGCTGACGCTAATCTATGTATCCCCCCCAAAAATTCAGTGCCACTCTGCTGACCTTTTGGCTTTGAAATGACAGTGTTTCAGACAGCAGTAGTCATGGTGATGTGATGAGGAGATAACACTGAATGATTTTTCAGAAATAACTTTAAAAACTATTGCAATCCAAGCCACCCTCAGGGAGGATGGACAGAGGGTATTCCAAGGCACACACAATAAATGGACCAATGACAGATCACGCTAATGGCCATACTGTTTATGTGCTGCAGGTACAATCAGGTGAATGCCATCCAAATGGCCTGCAGGACTGGAATAACACATTGCCAAAAGTTGACCAGCACCTGGTTCAAGCAATGGATGGACAACCCTCACCATAACTTGTGTGTATGTGTGTGATACATGATATTCCATTTTTTTGGAACATATGACCATCGTGTATTTCTCTTGACAGAATCCATCCACACCTGCGGGATGCAGTATACTGCAGCGCCATAGCGTCTGGTAACAAGGAAGAGTGGGAGTTTGGCTGGGCCCAGTTCAAGAACACGTCTGTCGCCAGCGAGGCAAATCAGCTCATGTCTGCCCTTGCCTGTACCGGCAACACACAATTGCTGAAGAGGTGAGCGCATTCCACTCATTCACGCTTTGAATATAATGATCTGAATTGGAATCTATCTGTCTTCAATAGCTGTCATCCCTGATTTCACAGGTATCTCTCGTACACCTTAGAGCCATCTATGATACGCAGGCAGGACGCCGCTTTCGTAATTGGGGCTGTGGCCAGCAACAGTTTGGGTCAGGAATTAGCATGGAACTTTGTTAGGCTACAATGGGACTACATGTTCACTCAGTAAGTATTCTACAATTATGCATAATTCTGTGGTAAATGGATAGGAACGAATGGGTGTGAAATTTGTCTTATTTTCTTTTGCATTATTCTTTTATGACTGAATTTGATTTCGATTTGTCTTTTGTTCGTCATCTGGTTTCTGGTTTAACGTTACATTTGGACAGGTCATTTTAGTTTCCCGTTTTGTAATTTCATATTTATTTGTGCCATACAACTTCAACAGAGCAATGGTAAAATGAATCAGGAACAAACAGTGTTGGGGAACAAGTTCAAAATTTAATTCAAAAGCTTTTTTTTTTTTTATTGAATGAACGTATTCAATTCATCCATCCATTCATCCATTTTCAACACTGCTTATCCTTAACAGGGCCATGGGGAGTTGCTGGAGCTTATCCCAGCTGAATTAGGGCGGAAAGCAGACTACACCCTGAACTGGTCGCCGGTCAGTCACAGGGCACATACAAAGACAAACGACCATTCACACCCGCATTCACACCGTCACTGAGTGGGAACTGATCCCAGGCTGCCCGCACACAAGCCTTAGCGCTTATGATTGACATACAAGGCAACCAATCAGATGACAACTGAATCACTGCTCATGCGCAAACAACGGTGCTCAGCGCTAGACGCTAAGATAGTCAGCGAATTACCTCCGATTTTAAGGCAGGGGTGTCCAATACGTTAATCGCGATCGACCCGGAGCCAGCGGACTGGTCGAGCGCGAACGTTGGGAGCAGAAAATACGTGCGAAAAAAACTTTGCGTGTCTGTGTGTTTTGATTCCGTTCATGTCGGGTCGGTCGCGGGAGGTTCGTCGCTTCAAAAGTCGATCTTCGGTCAAATACGTAGCAAGCTGACCCAAGTAGTAAGTAACCACTGCAGCTTGTGTGTGTGTGTGTGTGTGTGTGTGTGTGTGTGTGTGTGTGTGTGTGTGTGTGTGTGTGTGATGTGGCTCTTTTCAGTAACACAGTAAAAAAATTGGCTCTTAGTCTCTGACTGGTTGGCCGCCCCTGCTCAAGGGAATATTTCTTGCAGCTGGCCTGAGAACGCTCATGACCATGATTAGTGGAATAAAGTGGAAACTGTTCCTGGTTAACATGTTCTTCTTTCTAGATATGGTATGGGCTCCTTCAATTTTGCCTCGATAATTGATGAAGTCACAGCAAGGTTTTCCACACCTGCCCACTTACAACAGGTCTGTCAATGTTAAGAATAGTTATGTGTTTTATGGATGTGTCTGAAATATTTTTCATGCCTCTTCTGGTAGCTGGAGGATTTTGTGAGCGAGCACCATGCTACTGGCTTTGGTTCAGCAACTCTGGCAGTGGAACAGGCCCTGGAGAGGACAAGAGCCAATATCAAATGGCTACAGCAGAACAAACAGGAGATCTTAGACTGGTTCACCAGCCAGACAGACCAGTGAAGTATCAGAAAGTAAATGTTCGTCACTTGCTTGTTAAAAAAATACTTCTGGGGCTGAGGAGGGAAATTAAAGTCTGGGATGGAATATTACAAGGTAACATATAGTCAATATAAAAAGTGTACGCCTTTGTTTAAATGACCAAAATAAATAATTGAACAATATTTTTTCCACCATTATTGTGACCAGTGGCATGTAGGTAGTGTCAGTTGTGCTTGGTGTGTGTGTGTGTGTGTGTGTAAATATATATATATATATTTTATATATTTACACACACACACACACACACACACACACACACACACACACACACACACACACACACAAAAAATATATATAGATTGAT